TTGTTATGAAGAGATTGCTAAAAGTGAACTTTTCATTATTCTTTCTGTCTAAATTTTTAGCTGTAAATATGTCACCAGCAAATACGAAATTTTTACAGATGAAAACCTTAATGCTACTTTCTCAGAGTTGCAAATTGTTATCTTGAACATAACGCTTGATGTTTATGTAGGCCAGATAAATCTGTGCAGTTACTCCCTACAGAAGCTTAGAACAGGACACTTGGAATATAAGGCTTCCATCACAGGACTGCAAAAATTTCATTCTAATCAATTTCTGGTTTACTTTATGCCCTGCCATGTTTGAGTCCAAAAATGAAGGGACTGTTCCCACTTGGAGGAAAGGAAAAGGAAAGAAATGTACTTTACTCCTGCTCTGGGACTATCGACTGTTCAGGTTTTCTGATGGTCTGGCAGGATTCAGGGAAAGGAGGCATACGAGGGTAAATGCATTCTAAGGAAATAAGAAGCAAAAACTCTCATTTTCACTTATTAGAAAAGCAACCATTTCAGATACTGCTGCAACAGGCAATGTGTGGGCATTTCATAGAGAGTTTTGTTTTCTGCATTTTTAAGAATCAAATTACTCCCCTTTTATTCTATAGTACTGTTAGAATCTAGAATTCCTATTCATTACAAACAGAATTGTAGCATTCATTCTGCCTTATCTTTAGAGATTATAGGAACATTTTTCTCAGTACTTATAAAGAGTGAATCCTAAGTGTTTTCATGTCAGGGTCCTTCTAAGTTTAAAAAAAAAAAAATCTTCAAACAAAAGGGCCCTGTTCAGAGACAAGAATGAAAAAAAAATTTACCAAAGGTTGAAATCATTCATGTTGTCAGTTCTCCTTGTGTGTCCCAGGATGCACTTACCTGCTCCTTTGAAGTTAGTAGAACCATTTCACTTGCTTAGAACTGAGAACTGTGGACAAATGAGTGACCCCTCCTCCGGGCAGGTGCTCTGTGGCCCTGTGTGTGATTCCTCAGGGTCGTGTACTTTTCCCTGTGGCAGGCAGGGCAGCAAATCTAATGGTGGCTATCTCGTCACTGGAGTTCTCAGAAGTGATTATAATGACATGAGCTCCTCTTCTGAATGGAAAGGATCCACGGGTAAGATATGAAATGAGGTTTACAGCACTGAGATTTGGGAGGGGGGTTACTCATCATAGGCATCTCTAGGCTTATTTTAACGATGCCTAGGCCACTAGGTTTTGAAAATCATCAGGTCTGAATGACGACCTGCCTATGTAGAGTGAGGCCAGGTCAAAGAAACATAGATGCCACAGAAGACTGTCAGGGATGCATAGCAATGCGCTTCCCATCTAATGGCAAATAAAAATAGGTGTTCAAATTCTACAAGACCTTCCTAAAATAACCACTCTTGATATATGTCGATCCACATTTATTATAAAATCATTTGATGCTTCAAATTAGTCAAAGCACTAAAATTACATAAATTGCATACCAGTGCAAGCAACAACATATACACATCATTATTGAAGCTTCTATATAGAGAAGAGCACAAAATACATTTATTCACATAGCATAGCAAAGAATACACTTCATGTTTTAGTAAAGTGTGTCCATAACAAGTTGAAGTCCAACATTATTTACCAGGTGATAAATTCTTCTAACACCCAGAGGAGGGAGCAAGAAAAACATACATTCCCAGTCTTTACACTCTGATCCTGGACAGTTAATTTGGAGCCACGGTGGTACAGGCAAAGCTATGAACAGTTTTCACAAAAGCTCACTATATATGTTAAACAAGTGCTCTTACTTAGATTCTAAGCTCAAATCAGTCACAAAACTAATGCAGGTTTACCTTTTAAAGTCCTAGTGTGAACAGACAGGACAACTTGTTGCATAACACAGATGTATCTATCTGCATGTGTATTAACATTTAGGAATTTTCCACTTAGCTATACAGATAAAAGCAACTTTCTATCTCCACAAAAAAAAAAAAAAAAAAAAAAAAGTTTAAAGGGCATTTTCCTACCACCTAACTGAACCCATTGTAAAGAGTCTGGTGTTCTGGGATGTACCCACAGCTAATTATGAGTGAACATTCTCTCTCTTTGTATTCACGATCCTAAAATCCATATGCAATTTTTAAAATGCAGACATTAAGAACATCCCTGACATGTTTAGCATTTGCCTAGAATAATACAATCTCCAGAAGGCATACTCTGCAATACTATGCACACTACTTTACCCAATGCAAAGAGATGGGTATTCAGTTACACTGAAGATGTGATCGTGAATTTAAAACAGAGCTTCACTCCATCAAACTGGTGAACCCGTTAAAATGTTTTGTACTATTCACTTGCAAAAAATCAGAACAAATATATTTCCATTTGGAATATTTACAGAAGTTGTTGGATGCTCTACTGGTCATTATATCATGAACTGCATACTATATGTGGCACTTTTGATAACAGAAACAAAATTCTGGAGTCAGATGTGTACAAAGTTGCGTTCACTTTCTTTCATTTTGTTTCCTTTCGGAAAACACGCCTAAAACGATATATACTTGCATTCCTTCAGATTTTTTTTTTTAATTTTCAATGTCTGCTTGGTTCGTTTTACACCATCTTAAAACTAATTCGACTGCCCTCAAGCTATGCCCAGATAATGCAGATAGCTTTTAGAATATGCACAGACTGACTCCTTTGTCACTGGCCAAGCATTTGCATCCCACACAAGGTAATGGCACGCAGCATTTCTTCAGCGCAGACACACATGGCTGGGAGGACACTGTGGCGACAGACTGACACCTCCTTCGTTGGATCAGGCTCGCAGAGAAAAGGCCTGTAGTCTGCAAATGAATCTGTTCTCAGTGCCTTTCCCCATTCAAAGCACATGAAAATGTTCACCGCGGATTTTATCCAATGTGATGAGCAAGGACAGAGATTTGGTTCCTGGTGCTTTATTTCACAGAATACCACCACACCTATGTAGCTGCAGGAAATAAATACCGGGTCTGAAAGTAAATGAAACGTCTGAAAGTTCTTCTTGGCTTAAAGTGCTCTTGAGACACATGAGGACATTTATGCAATTTAACGGCAATCACAAGCTAAAATGGCTTTTTTTTAGAAATACGCATTATATACACATACATGCACACACATACATATATACACACATATGTACACTACAATGATCAATATGTAACTGTCAGCTTAAATTAAAAATGTGCAAAAGCTTTGCAATTTCATGTGCAATTTGCACCAGGAAATTCCTGTCTGTAATTCAATTTGGCAAGTATTCATCAATATCCATTATGTGCTATTTATAGAGGAATAAACTAAAGTTATGTGATTAATCACTTACTGGTCTTAAAAGTATCATGTGCCAATAAGTGTGTTTCTACTTTAAACTCACCGAAAAAATAATTGCTTTAAATCTTCACTGAGGCTCTTTGCTTAATTTTTTTTAATTTATTAATGAGAATTTACGAAAATTTTCCAAAATTGACAATTCCAATGTAAACAACTAAAAGCATGAATATATGAACATAATATTTTAATATTTTAGTTTATATGAACATAATATTTTAATATTTTAGTTGAATTCAGAGTTTTCCTTGAAAGTCTGAAATCAGACTCAAAGGGGAAATTTTTAAATGGATCTAACTTAATGAAAGCGGGAAAGTTTTTATAGAAATGTATTTCCCTACTATAAAGCAGAACTACCTACCCTGATTTCTGACAGACCCACGACATTTTGAATGAATTCTGACACACTCCACCCAGTGAATTAGAATGTGGGTAGAACTATACTAACACGCAAAGAAAAAGTGAATTACTGGGAAATGTAGAGAGGCATTATCTTCCCTCATTTTCTGATGAACAATTAAAATGATACCAAAATGATTAATTTCTAGTCATCCTTTGACACTGGTAACATAAATATTACAAGATGCCATCTTATCAATTTAGTGAACTTGCTTTCAACACAATTCTTTGATCTGTGTGTGTATGCATCTGTAAAGCAGTAACACACTAACTGCAGTTTGTGAATATTAAATATTATGAACTTTTTTATTCTCTGACAGAAATGATGACCCACGGTGAATCATCTTTTCTTTGAACACATCACTGGGCTTAAGTCACTTGTGTGGTAGAGCTTTTAAGAAGCTGATATTATGCAAGGTGTATCTGTGTTAAGAGCACCCTCTCATTTCTCTAAAATTATTGTGCATCAGTGCACTAAAACTTTCAGAGAAAAAGGAACTGCTTGAAAACTGCAAATCTATGGCTTGCCAAAAAGAACCTTTCAAACAAAAATTGATCTTCCTTACAATAAGAGCAAGCGTTCATATTTGTCAAACATGACAATAGGCTCATTCTAAAGAGGTTTGCAGGAGAAGACAACCTGTCGGCTAGACCTGTGAGCCACAGTGAATCCCAGATGTCACGATCATGCATATGGACTGATTGAGACTACATAATGACTGATAAAACAGACCAGAACAGAAAACTGACAGAGATCTATTTCATTGAGCCTAATTTACATGGAATAAGGAACAGCTGCAGAGCAGCAATCTCAAAATAGCCATTTCACTGTGCAGGTACCATTAAAGCAATCTCTGGCAAACCGGCCCAGCGAGTGCAGCAGACCTCAACATATTCATCTATTCCAAAAGCGTGAGTCACACAGACAAGCCCCAAATTATCGTCTGTCTGACTCTCATAGCATTATCTCATTCTATGTCCAGTTGACAAGGAAAAATGCACAACCATATTAGCTAAGTTAACAAGTTTTAAAAGCTGAATCTAATTGACAATGTGAAATAGGAAGAAAGGGGCTAACGGTGTAGGGAAAGTGGGAAGGGTAGGGGAAAGGGAATAAGGGAAAAGAAAAAAATATGAAAAAATGAAAAAATGGAAATGAAGTGTTTGTAAATGGGGAGGGGAGGAGGGGGTGAAGGGAGGGCAGGGACAAGGGGAAAAATGAGAACCAAGACTTGTCATGTAAAGGTACAAGATCCCAATAATGAATATAACTGCACTGTATACCTAAAATGTGCCAATAAACTCAATGAGGGGGAAAAAACATAAAATCTGAATCTGACAAATGTATTACCAAACTACATGCTGAGGTCTGAATTTTCCAGTTAGACTACATACCTTTATCTAATTAACTGAAATATTGCCCAAAACTACTCTTAATTTTGTTCTAGCCCTACACTGACTTACTGTCCTAAACTAGGTGTTTGCTGACTTCCTTTCTCTGCAACTGGTGACTCAGAAATAGCAGCAACCTTTAAGGAATTTTTAATAGAGCTCAACTCCCAAATATGTAAGCTGATAACATGTACCCCACAGCAACGCCGGGCAAGCTTGTAGAGATTCTTAAGGACAGCCTTCCGGAGAAGGATGTATACCCAGGGATCTAAGATTTGATTCCATGTTGCCATTCGGAGAGCAAAAAGTGTTGTTTCACAGGTCTCTAGAGAATTATTTGCATTGATTCCAATGTTGGCCATTGTTACCTAGAAAACAAACAAAAGAACGAAATCAATTGAGTACAGATTTGTTTTCAGTCCTGTACTGTATGTAGTTCTTTAACTTAACCTGCTATGTGCTTCACATTTATTCCACTTTCCACAGTTTTGTTATTTTGCAAAATACTGACAAAAATAAATTAGTAACAGCAGAATTGCTGCTCAAGACATTTAAATCCTGTGTGTTCAAACTGACACCAGAACTGCAAAAATAACAACTTCTATAGTAAATCAGATGTGCACAAACAGAATGGCTAAAGGGAGAACACATATTGCATAAGTAACAGACCTCTCCAGAGGGATACCAATCTCAAAGCCAACACACAAATGTGTATCTCAATGAAAAACAAAAGTATATTTAAGTAGTAAATAATGGATAACTTTTCAAAACAAATTTAGAACATTTGATATTAATTTGTACATGGTACATGGTACTTTAGAATTTTCTGCTTGTTAGCTAAAATGATTCCAATGTCTCTAATTCTACATTTCCTTTCTATATCTCTCTTTCTAAACTTAAATTGGCTAAAATATTCCCCAAAATATGCAAATAACTCTGAGCTTTGCAAAAAAGAATTCACCTCTATGCTACCATTGTGACTTAAAAATAATAATATATATCTTGATTTCCTGTGTCCATTTCCTAATACCTTATGATTGAAAAGAGATCATTTCACAGAATTAGTCCCATAAATGATCCTAATTACAAAATAAATGAGTCAAATCACAAAGCCCACACTTGACTTCCAAATAGTGGCAGAAAAGGCAAATAAAGGGGCTTTGAAAATATCCTGGCTATAAAAGCAAATAAAGCATAAATGAACAGAAGAGTAAACTGAAAATTAAATGATATTAGAAGCATTGTGTCACCAAGATTAAAAACTGATATAACAAAATCTAAATTCCAAGTGAAAATAAAATCAGGACCATTTTTCAGAAATGCCTTTATTTGCACTGATATCTTTAGTTAGAGGATGAATGTTACTTACCAAAACTTTCATTGTCAATACAACAAAGTACAAACAGCCCAGCGGGCTCCTTGATGATACATCTGGAAGTTCATCTTTCCAACATCATTTCTCTGCGAATATCCTATGCTACAACCTCTGGAGAAGGCCTCACTTGTCCTAGATGTACCATGGCCTTTCTGAGCTTCGGCTTATGTAACTCTCATTATTTTAAATCATTTTTCCGCCTGACATCTCCTATTCACCCTTCAAACTCCACATAATCATTGTTTCACTCCCATGTAACTTTTTCCATCTTTACCAAAACGAATTAGCAGTATCTTCCTGTCAATGCCCAGTTCCATCATTTAACAATAATACACAATAATTACGCTTGTGTCTCAACAGCTATGAGAATCTTTTGTTTTTCTTTATTTTTCTAACAATAAGTACAAAGCTGACATGTAAAATGTACTCAGTAAATTCGTGGGTGAATTCAATTATGTTGTTTTTATTCCTTGAGATTATACAGAGAAGAATACCTAATCGGCAGAGATCTTCTGACCACTCATCACAACGGTCTCCTATTTTGAGGCATGAAACTTTCTAAAAGTTTCAATACAACAACATCAACTGCATTCCTCAGTGGTTTGTTGACACTTAAAAGAAAGAACACTTTGCAGACCAGGCAAATCCTTTGGGAAGTGTTTATCCTCCCTACTTCCACGGTGCATTCCCTGGGAAAATAATGAATTAAACTAGAGGCCCAAGTATTCGTAGATAAAAATCAAAAATCAAAATATATCCTGCACAACAGCACCTGGGTATGATACAAACTCTTATATCACAGTTCCCTAAATCATCCATTAGGTTTGAAGAAATACATCTATCAGGCCCAGTTTCTCATACAAAGAAATAAGAGCCAAGATTTAATTGGCATTTAGACTGAGATGTTTTCGCTTTATGTTTCTTCTGTTCTTGCCAAATGTTTATTGATTATCTGCTATATGCCAAGCAATGTGCTGGGCACTGGATTTACAATGAACAAAGTAGACACTGTAGAATTATTAATGTCTGCTACAAGAGTTTTTGTTTGAAGATGAATATTTCTCTTACCTAACAAGTATGAAATGAACGCATTTTCTAATAATAATTCTGTATATTCCTGTGAATGTACCTTAGCCTAGCTAAGACAATGCCCTGTGAAGACGTGAACAAAGGCACTCAGTGTAGTTGCCTGGCACTGCTAGCCTTGTTTTAGGGATGGGCAAATTTGAAGAACCTCAGTTTACACTGAGAGGCACGCCCTTATTTGATTCCTCTCTGCCCTGTAAACAGGAAGTGGCCACCATGTTAAAAAACATGGCGCCTTCTACTGCAGGAGCCCAGGACATACTTTCTCTCCAGAACACCAGTGCGGTTCCTGGGCGTTCATAACCACTCTCTCTCTCCTTTATCTGCCAGCCCCAGCCATGAAGAGCAGTTGCTCAATAGACCAGCTTGGAGAAGGACTTCTTATTTATCCATCAACAAAAACACAGGTTAAATATTTCTGCACAAAAAAAAATATCTGGAGTATGTTATTGATAACAGCACAGTATTGATAATGCAGGAATTATCTATGGTAATTTCCCATAATAAAAAAATATGCAGGCATTAGTGTTTGTGGTTGTCAACTCTCTCAATAACAAATCATCAAACTGTACTGATGCTGTAATCTTAATTTGGGGTGAAAATTTTCTTTTGCATAGAGAAAAAAATGACCAGAGTGTATATCAATACTTTCACTGATAACTTTAGACAGCAGAAGTACAGAGGATTTTGATGATCTCCTTTGATTTGTGTCTAACCAAAATTGTTGCTTGATCATGTGTTGTTTCTTACAAGTTATCTTTCCCCCAAGTAATTTATGAAACTACACTATTTTACTAAAGAATCGGAACTCGTGGATTATTTAAGCATGTCTATGTGTATGTAAGTCAAGTGGTACTGAGAATGACACAGGATTACCTGGTAAATTTAGCTCTGATAACATTGGTAGGAGATGTGTGAGACCCGCAGCTAGAAAGAAAAACGTCTGCTAACAGCAGACAAACACAGTTGGGAGTCATTTTGCCCAGAGCCTGATGACAGTCACTTCATAAGCCTGGAGAACATTCTTTTCTGCCTGGCCCACCCAACTTGCATTCCCGACAGCTGTGTGCAGATCCTCTTCAAACACATACTTTTCATCTAGTTTCCAAGAGCCACCCAACATGGAACTGGAGAAATACATGTTATTTTCTAAAATGTCTTCTATCACACGTTACCGTTGCTCATCTAGGTTAACGATTATAATTGCAACTGAGAAATGCACAGGAACAAGTGGTCTGATGGTCTATTAAAATTGATTGATCAACCTACTGTCCCTGAGGTACTCACTACTAAGATATAAGAGAAACAACAAAGTCAAAGAGATACACAGGAATGTGAGTTTATGTGCATTATAAAGTTTCAAAGAGCAAAACATAGATGATATGATAAAACATCCATCCATTTGGGCCACATAATCCAATTATATCAGCTGTTAAGTTCACCACAATTAGTCAATCTGCCAGGCTACTTCACACATAGATAACAGGACCCATGGTTACAGAAGCTTTCTTCTGTAAGTTATTCTACATCCTCTACCCTATGTCTGTATACCTGTTCACCAGAAAGAGGACACCCAACATGTTTACAAATTAAAAAGCAATGGTAATAGAAGTGTGCTTCTATTCCTTTATATATTCATAAAAAACATCAGTCTAGCAGTGAGTGGTTTCTGAGGGTCTCCTATGTACAAGCAGAGTGCTAGATGACAATGCTATTTCTGCATGCAGTATAACAGACACATATAAAAGGCACCAAGTCAAGCAGGGTGGCACATGCCTGCTGTCTTAGCTACTGAGGAGGCCATAGTGATCCGTGCATTTGAGACCAGCTTGTGGGACACAATGAGAACCCATCTCAAAAACAACAATAATAGTGATAATAAATAAAAAGGTGCCATAGGCAGGACTATTTACTCATCATCATCAAAGATGTAATCACTAAAAAGCATGTATCTTTGAAATTTTTCTAGAACATAAACACTTTAGTTAATCAGGCTTGACTACGTGAATTTATGATGATTGGGCTGCAGGTTGAATTTTTCTTTAGCAGAAATTTTTAAAGGGATTTTAAGTGAATGCATAATCAAATTCCTTTCTGGTGAACTGTCCAACTTCTTAGAAACCAAAACACATCCTAGGATATTATCATCATCTATTTTCATATGAACAATGTCTACGATAATTATACATGATTCTCACATAGTCCCTGAAACAAGTGTTATCACACACAGTTCCTCTTACTCCGAGAAGTAGACCATCCTTTCTTCTTTAGTCAGCACTGAAGAGGGCTAATTCAAGGACTTTTCTTTGAGGAATGAATATGTGCACAGTGCAGTTTGCTGATCTGCAAGTTATTGTCCCTTAAAATTTATCATCCAAAGATTAACATTTAAATGTCACTTAAATAACCATAGAGTGTAGCACCAGTTGTAATGAGCTAATTACAGTCCGCTTTCATTGTATAATAAAAATGATTCATCCAGAGGCTTCGCCGAAGGAGCATCCTGTGAGGTCTTTGTGGTCAGAGTTTAATCTCTGTGTTTATTTGAATAGCTACTGACCAAAGAACCATGCGTAAAAGATCGATTTTGAAATGACACAGCACCTTTGAATACTTGCAAATGAGACATTCATGTTAAGTTAACTTCAATGGAAATTTGAGAAAGGCAGATTATATAAAATACTGGCTGCATCTCAATTCAATCAGTCATTTTTGAATCAAGTATTTTGTGGAGATTTACCTCTGCAGCTTTTATTTCTAGGTATAGAATGTTTACCTTTACAACATAAGAAACTATAAGAAACTTCAAGACGAAAAAGCTTATACTTGTACAACTCTAGAAAAATATGCTGTTAAAAACTGAAATGTCGAGACTCTGGAGGATATACCTTTTCAAATATGAACTTT